TCAAAATTTTCTTTATCTTTGTCTAGTCCTCTAGTATCTCCTATTCCAGGCGTATCGATTAAGCGGACTAATGCGTTCCCCATCATGAATTCATAGTCAGTACACCCTTGTGTGGATGACGTTCCCTCGCCGTCTGTTAGTTCATTTGGGTCATCATCCCCAATCTTGATTGATCTCATTTCATAGTTTTCATCCATTACAGTGAATTTTGATGTAATTAACACCTCCAATTCCCCGTTCTTTGCATCGTATATAATGTCTCGAATTTAAAATAGTTTACAAGGGCGTTGATAAAGGTTGACTTTCCCACTCCTGTCTCACCGAGCAACAGAATGTTTATTTCTCTTTGGGAAGTCTTATTTTCCAAGATTGGTACATAATCTTGAAAAAAATTGATATCATCCATAGTTGAAGGTCACAAACTAAAACGCGATGGATAAATATTTGAATTCAAACTCCGATTGAGATTGCCAAATTTATCGATCAATGTCTAGCATCCATGTCACACTAACGATTTAAAATGTTTTTTAACTTTACCTTCGGGGGCTTATTCTTTGTCTGTGACAGAACACGAGAATTGTGGCTAACCTTACCTAAGCAGTTGCATATAATGAATGAGGTCGTATGTATTGTTCGTAAAATGAAAGAAAATATCGAGTTGTTATAAGGTGATATTATTAGACTTGAAAAAGAACTTTTGCGATACAAGGTGTTCAACATTTCTCTGCAACGTTCTGTATTTTGTTTATCAAAAGCTGAGGTACTTGACGCTGAGCTGTCGGCGTATCTTTCCATAAATGAGAATAGATGTATTCGGTAGAACAAAGGATGTATACAAAACTTTATCTTTGACGTTGCATTATCTATTGTAGCAAATAATTATGGGAAATGATAACTACCAGTCTATTTAGTTACCTTTTCATGAAGTTTGGATTATTGCATGGAGGCTTGCGTTGATATTCTTGCTAATTGCGCGATACAGCCAAAAAATATTGTATATTTGGTGTTGCTGCAGTTGACCACAAACAACGAATTATGCAAGATGACGAAATGGGGTTGTTACATAAAACTTTCAAGGTTAGAACGGTCGAATACGATGCAGATTATATTTAACCAACTTAATAATAATAATGATAGACTAAAATTAATTAATAATGTTATTGATGAAATATTTGGTCGAACATTATTCTGTCTACAAGGTCTGATAGTAGCGGTCCTTAACTTTAGAATAGAGGAATCTGTTGTCCAATTCATATGAACGTTAAAACAGCGAAAACGCGTAAAATAATAATAATAATACTTTCACAAAACAATTGGAAATAATTTGCAGGGTTTGGAGGACTTTGAATGTGGTCCGATTGACCACTCCCTATGTAGTCACGTTTTACTCAAATTATCTCCGCAGTGCACGTGATTAGTACGCGGCAACCAACACCGAACACTAAATATGGCATCGAGTACGAATACACGATAAGTAGGCCTTCGGCGTCAAAGTAAACTGACAGTTACTTTCGATAGGTCCTCCGCATGGCGAAAGAAAACTCGTCGCATCGTCAAAGACTGACGGTATAGAATAAAAATAAAATCAAATAAATTATTTATCAAATTTTATTTTGGCATAGTAGCGGTATAAATGGTCATTTTGGCAGCGTTTCGGTATAGGACTCGTAATTATTTATTATCTAAGCAGAGTTTACGGTATAATTTCACAACTTTGTTCATGAGAGTGAATTCAAACATACAAGCGACACAAGTCACGGGAAAGCGCCTTTCAACTTTGCGGATTAAGGAGATTATATATTTGTTTTCCCTACCTTCATCATATGAGGAAGCTCTTATTCATGAGATGTTTGGTTGCCAATGCAAATCGTCACGTAATAGTTGTAATCACGAACTGCGGCGACACTAAAGTAATTATGACGTTGATTGGTTGTTATTCGTAAATTTTACGGGCCTTTTCATGGTTAGGAAACTTATTCATGAAAGTTTGCGGCAAATACAAATTTTTAGTCGAAGTTTTTTGATTAGCATTTAGGTCGCTATGTCATGTGTTAATTATATCATTGCTGCCTGTATAAAGACTTTTTCTCCTCTCTGGCAACGCAATTTTATTTAATCAATACATTAGCGATAAGGTTGTATGAGCATGGTTGGCAGTAAGTGTACTCTACTACATTTAGCAACGTTTTTTGTAAGCTCAGCACAATGTTAGGTTTCAGCATTGCTTGCTAAAAAATTTTTTTCTTGTCCATTACAATTAATTCGCAATGCAATCCATTGTATTTCCCTTTGTCCTTTAATCTATGCTTATAGTAATCCGACAAGATATTGAAAAGTATCAGCTGAACCTATCCTACGTGCGAGTCTTTTTATTTTTAAACAACTATATTAACAAATGATCATGCTCTTGATAAGTTATCTCTGTGTCCGAAAAAACTCAAAAGAAAATACGCCTTAAAAATAAACAAGTTCGCCAGACTGTAACAACATAAATAACAAATAAATAACTAATATACATATACATGTCAAGTGCAAGGAATACATGCACAGTATTAAATCACTTCCACAATGAAGACCAAGCATAGTAAAGTTTTTGGGGATAGCGATTACCTCGTGCACGCTTTTCAAAGGACATTCTTTTCCTCCTCATAAAATTCTTATTTCTTTCATGTAAGAACGCAGAAGCTTGACTGCTTACTACTATGTCTTTTATTTTTTTCAAGGTTTCACCAGTGAGTTTTAGAGAATACAATTGTTGTGCGAGCCTTTCTATGTCTTCTGGTGAGATCGGTTGTTCAGAAGAATCACCATTCTTTAATGCCTTTTTAATACTCTCTATCTTCGTTAGGTACACTCTCTTTGTCTTTTCGAGCCCTTCGAGAATTTCATTATTGTAATTTAAGGGATCATCGTCCTTCTTGATTTTCTCTTGGTTTATAAAATGATCCAAGTAGTCGGCATACGCATCATTGAATGGAGCTATTGCACTTTGTCTTAGGAATTTTGCAAATTGAATGTTGATACTGTTTATCGTCTGCTGTTCTTTTCTTAGTTGTTCCGTCCTCTTTCGTTTGTCCGCTATCAGCGCTGCCCTTGTTTCTTGAAACGACTTGGTCTTACTAATCTGCTTCTCAATGTTTGGGTCCACGACCCTTTTTTCTACAACTTTAAGATCATAGGTAATGTGCATATGGGCGTTCCAGAGACAGCCACAATTTTTACAGATTCCATTTGGTTTCATGGCTGTGCAGCGTCTCAAGGCTTCATGGTTCACCACATTGCATGCGACATTGGTTAAATAACAGTGTGGATGACACTGTGTCTTGTAATGACACTTTTTCACTTTGTTTTCTCCGGTAGTCAAGACATCGACACAACTTTGGCTGGTACACACAGTTTGCGGATATCCCAAGTTCTCGGCCTCGTAATCCATTTGTGGAATGTACAAGACTTTTTTCAGATCTTCTATGTTTTTGCTGCAGTTTTTTATATCATCCTGTTGACCTTTGATTAGGCTAAGGTTTATCTGGATAAGTTGTTCGATTCCCGCAAGAGGTTTTGAAAGTTCGACTACCATATTTCTAGCATTGTTGAGAGATAGAGTATCTTGTACATCGTGCCGTTCACGTGACTTTAAGTGCTGAACGAGTCTTAATGATTCTTCAGCTGATATTCTCCAGCTCTCTGCGAAGCTTCTTTCATCATCATCATTGAACTTTATACCCCCTCTAATAGCTGCTAGGAATCTAAACGCTTCATTGTCAAAACAATACATTGTGTCTCGGTCGGTTTTTATTTCGATGCCAGATCTTCCCTTAAGCTCGTCGAGTTGTTTCCTGAGTGGTACAAGCGTCTCTCCCGGACGATAGAACGTCGTTCTAGAATTGGTAAAGCAAAAGACAATGTTGTCCTTGGCATTTCTATGAAGATGTGATAACAGCTCTTGTATGCAAAACCTAAACACGACAGTTAGTCGCGCACTATTTGGCTTGAGAAGAATACAGATGCCATTCAGATGCTTGTAACGGGCAATATACTTCAAAATGTTTTCAAAATTTTCTTTATCTTTGTCTAGTCCTCTAGTATCTCCTATTCCAGGCGTATCGATTAAGCGGACTAATGCGTTTCCCATCATGAATTCATAGTCAGTACACCCTTGTGTGGATGACGTTCCCTCGCCGTCTGTTAGTTCATTTGGGTCATTATCCCCAATCTTGATTGATTTCATTTCGTAGTTTTCATCCGTTACAGTGAATTTTGATGTTATCAACACCTCCAATTCCCCGTCCTTTGCATCGTATAATGTCTCAAATTTAAGATAGTTTACAAAAGCGTTGATAAAAGTCGACTTTCCGACGCCTGTCTCACCAAGTAACAGAATATTTGTTTCGTTTTCGGACGTTAGTGTATCAACTTCTTGAGGAAAGATAATTTCTATTTCATCCATAGTTGAAGGTCACAACACGAGATGGAAGGAGCATGAATATAAATATTTGAAATTCAAACTCCGATTTGAGATTCCAAATTCATCATGAATGCGTCACACTAACGATTTATGGTAAGTTAAAATGTTTTTTAACTTTGCTTGTTCTTTGTATTTGTATGCACTGATAGAGTTCTGTAACAGAACACGATAATTGTGACTAACCTTACTTAAGCAGTTGCATATAATGAGAGTTCGTATGTATCGTTCGTAAAAATAAGAAAATACAAGTATTCATAATTTAGACTTGAAACTTTTGAGGGAAAGAACTTTTGCGATACAAGGTGTTCAACATTTCTCTGCAACATTCTGTATCTTGTTTATAGAAAGCTTGAGGTACTTTGACGCTGAGATTGTGGCATTTTCTGCCGTTGGCGTATATGCATTTGTTGGATATATTCGTTTGAACAAACGATGTATACAAAACTTTATCTTTGACATTGCATTATCCATTATCGATAGCAAATAATTATGGCTATTTAGACGGTTATCCTTTACCTTTCATGGGAATGTATTGCATGGAGGCTTGCGTTTGTTAATTGCGCCCAACACAGCCTAATGTTCTAATGTAAAAAAAAGTATATTTCAGTTGCTGCGTTACCCGATGCAGTAATGTTCATTCAACAATGCATTCTGCAAGATGACGAAATGGTATTGTTGATTGACGTTACATAAAACTTTCAAGGATTAGAACGGTCAAATATGTTTCTTCGTTAATATTTAACTAACTTATTATTATTATTATTATTATTATTATTATTATTATTATTATTATTATTATTAAATTAATTAATAATGTTATTGATGATATAGTCGAACAGTATTCAGTCTGAATGGTCTGATAGTAGTGGTCAACATTTATATAGTTGTCTGGTCTTGACTGACAAGTAAATTAACACTAAAACTTCCTTAACTTTAGAATAGAGAAAGTAATCTGTTGGTCACATTCACAGGAACGTTAAACAGCGAGTAGAGATACAGTAATTTACAGGGTTTGAATATGGTCTCATTGACCACTTTTTATGCGGCCATTCGGTCAAGATAGCTAAGAAAAACAATTCAGAAAAAAAGTATATTGGGCGATACACAATTTTGTTGAGGTAAGAAAGTCATTTTACTTTTGTGTCTTTCACCCTTTACCCGAATTACCTCCACTCCGTAGTAGCACGTGATTAGTACAAAGGCAACCGACACCGCACCACCCGATATCATTATCTAAATACAGTATCGAGTATGAATACACGATAAATATTAAAGCTGGTTTCTCAGAAGAATGTTTATCAACTGTCTAATATTCTTACTAAAGAAAAACCAAATCAACTTACAGAAAGTAGAAACCAATTTGTATATGTGTAGTGTTCAATTTTTTGACCGGGAATATTTGCCCTGAACACGACTTTCCTAATGTGCCGTTTTAATTAAGGCGTTAGATAATGCTGAAGGTGGCTACGTGGAATGTGCATTCCATATTCTGGATCGCTAGCGTACGATTAAGTTGTATCGCTAATAGAAAACCTTATCGTTATGACGCTGATTTTGAGTTCCCTTTTTGGAAGGATCTTTCAGCTATAGCCCTAGCAACTTACGTGCAAGGAGAGAAAACTATATCAGAACAACAACTGATATGCGTCCTTGATTGAGGAGTATAATTAAACAGTATGACAAATCCTTGACTCGTTAATTCAGAATGCTCCCGTATTTCCGAGTCGCTTTGTAATGAATCTGCCTTTTATTGATTTGATTGCTTGTATTCTATTACGAATGGCGGTATCATATTTATATGATATTTATTACTCAATAATAAATGAGACATACTCCAACACGTCAACACGTCAACACGCTAAATTTTACGCACCTGGTATGTCTGCTAAGTTTAGACATTATTGTCAAGTATGTATTATGACAACACGAATTGATGACGTTGGATTTCACGTGTAATATGGGAAGACATAAATGAGAAAGTTCAAGTAAAAATGGTCGATTAAATTAAAGCCTCAGGCATAGCTCTTAATATTTTATCAAAATCTTTCTATTCTTTTATTGTACTCCCCTCCTCTTCATTTAGATTGATAAAAGAACCTTTACCACATTTCGGACAATGGGATTATCGTTATATTTTAGGACTGAAACAAATTGAAATAGGTTAATTATTCTTGTGTCTTACACCTTAATGCATAGTTGAATTATAATAAAAATACAAATTGCTGTTTATTATTATATAACTCAAAGCCTTATCAAAAATCAAAAGTTTACCAGAAAGATTCTCGGATAATATTAATTTGGGCACTTGACGATTCTAATTCCCCTCAAATTATCCTTTCGTGAGATTTAACTCGATACTCCAGGGTGCATTGCGTACGCTTACCCTATCTAATTAATTTAGGGCTTCAATACATATTTATGACATAATGTGATCCGTCGATAGAATTGTTTGCATCAAGTAATAAATATATTAATATCGTGCGCTTATAACACGTGTTAACTACATAAATAAAACACAATACCCAATTGTTCTCCTCTCGCCGTCTTCCTAAGAGGCGGAAATGGGAGAAAATCCATTTATACGACTAGGAGTGCTGTTCCCGGACGGCCTGAAGGAGTCGGCTTCTTCTGCACAATACTTTTCGAAAGCTGCTTTTACAGATTGCGCCTTTTCGTTGCCAAGAAAAGAAGTCATCAGAAATAGTAGGGAAAATTTTGTGGGTGCTCTTGCGTGCAAGTAGAAATTTTTAAATAACCGCCGAACGTAACATCTCACCTTTTCGGCATTTCGGACAAACACGCGAAGGTACTTTTCTTGATAACATTCGGGCACCATTCGAGTATCTTCATATCCTGTAAGTAGCGTGACCAGGACGGCCAATGGATTCGATTGTTGGATTAACTTATGCAACACACAGACATATAACCTCCACCCTTAAACTGTCAACCAGATTTTGTTCCGACAAAAACGTACTTGGTACCCCGTCATCGTAAAACTTGATATGGTCTAATGGGTTTTTCTCGCGTAGTGCAAAATTTATAACTTCAATCTTCACAATAACGTCCTCTTCGGACAGGCCTTCGCCGCAGCTGGAAATTTTACTGACGTAATTCATAGGGTTCTAAGGTGGTGTTCGTAATGTTTAACGGGATATCAGCTTCACTATTCTCAAGGTCTAGATTATGCCCTTTTCAAGACTTACTTTATCAAGCGCCGCAAGACAGCCAGCAGGAATAAGACATTCTCCAACGAATTTGTACAGCTGTCTCTTTCGCAATCTTTTCAATATTCCTCTTGATTTTTCTAGTTCCTGTTGAAATAAAAGTAACAGGGTAACTAAATGTAGACAACCTTTTACTGAACTCCAATACCGTCATTTCTAAGACTGGCTACTCTCTTCATTTTCCTCAAATTTGTTTTGCCACATTTAGCATACCGGTTCTAAAGAGTACTCGATTCGTCGAAGGATAGTGTCATCCAACATAGTGTACAGCTCGGGATCTTTGACAGCCTGAGCTAATTGAATGTGATCTTTGGCAGCTATTAACGCATCCGCTATCATAAAATCGACCGCCTTTACTATTATTCGTCGTAAGAGAAGGATTAAAAATAGAATTGTGTAAGACACTAGAAAGACACAGGTATGAACTCTCAATCATTTGTTGATTATCTTTCGCTTTTCTGACCAAATTCCGATACTTACCAACCGGATGCGTGTAAACTCGCTTAAACAGACTGTACCTTGCATGAAACATATCGTACAAGTTTTGCCGTTCTTTGAATGGATAGGCTATCTGATCATCCACAACTTTTGAAAACAGCATCAAGCGATCGATATCGTGAACTTGTTTCAACCCGGTGTAATATGAATCGCGTTGGAGGTAGTCGAATTTGTCAACGTCGACTGAATTACGCTGATTGGCTACTATATCGAATAGGAATTTGCGCTTCGCGGGGCTGTAGAACGGGTTGGCACAAAGGAAAGGGATTGTCAATCGTTATGTTATGAGTAATAATTTAAAAACGACAAACGTCAATGCTGTGATATGATATTACAGAGTTCCAATAATCAGCTGATTGATGAATTTAATATCACTATCGTCCAAAAACTTAAGCTCATTCTCGCTAGCCAAAGATTCTACCATCATCTGGGATGCCTGCTCATGACTCCATTTTTCACCCAGTCTGTTGGAGACGTTGGAGACAAAGATTTAATATTAATGTGGAGTTTGAGGGAAGTAAAATGAAGATTGGGAATGTTCAAAGAATAGGAATATATGGACAGTATCGTCCAATTTCGTATATCACCAGCCAAGAATTGAAATTGTAGACCAAACACATACTCTAGACTCGGTACGACTAAGTCATCAAACACGTGACTGAACGGACCATGACCTATTCGAGGTAGGACGAATATAAATGTCTTTCTTTTCACACCCCCCACCAAGAACATATATATAATGTTTTCCTTTGTACAGATTCCTTCACAGTACTAAAAAGCATAATGTACACTAACCCAAGTCATGACATAATCCAGCAATAGTGACGCACTTGACCTCCCTATCGGTAATCTTGAGTTCTTTTTGGTCACGTTGGAATCTTGAAATCAATGAATTTGCTAATACTCCTACACCTGAGTATGTAGTAGCGAGAGACCGAAGTTATGTGGGCTGTTTCTGGGAATCTCATGTTCATTCGTTCATTTTATTCATAAACTGCTTCCTTTAACAACCACCAGTCTCTCATTACCTAAACAATGTTCAAATCGTGTGTGAACAGCGCCTGGAAAGACATACTGTACGGATCCAAGCTGTTTGACGTCGCGCAGTCTTTGAAATTGTGGCGTATCGACTACATCCAACATCCATGGAGTTAGCTTCATAAGTCCCTATGTAATTGGAGTCAGTATAGGGATACTAAGTAGGTTAGCATCGAATGACTGGTGGGATGTGTCTTGTTATCAACCCTCTTCTCAACAGGCAACAATCTGGGTAACTCACACAATTATCCACTTTTACTGGGTCGTAGATTATCTTGGAGGATTTGTTACGGTAATTCGCACAATTATCCATTTCACTATGTCGTATATTATCTTGGAAGATTCGTTATGGTTTGTAATTATAATGGTTGAGATAAAAAAAATTGTCTGTGGTAGAAAGAGAAAGAATATTTTTCGATATTGTAGTAGAAATAGTGACGAAAAGTAGTTGTTGGCGTTAACTGGTTTGCTATTTAAATATTTTTGAACGAAATTGTCTATTCTATTGTTTATTACTCAACACTTACTTTGATAGTCCTGTTCTAACTTATACTGATTATCCCCTATCCTCTTTGCTCATCTAACAATGTCCAGTGTAACCACAACCAAAAATATATATATTGCGTGTTTATATGTCACATGCACCTGACAAATGCTGTTTATTACCATTATTGTAAAACAAAGTCTTTTATTCTAATTTACAGTATAAATTATTAATCCTAACAATGTCATGATAGCCGATAAGTAATGATCAAACAAATTAGTTAATCGAAATAGCAAGTTTTATCAGTAATGTGATTATCAGTGCCCCAGCCCGCATTTTATCTGACAAGGTTACCCTCGCGCAAGAAAGGGCAGTTCGCCATTGATTCGCCGAGTTTGGCACGTTCGGAGTTTAATAAGAAACGCTAATATTCGATATCATGTCATGGGAACTTTCGTGCAACAGACTATTCGAAATGTCTTATTGTAATTGGTCGGTTAAATGTATGTGGCGTAAATTATGTAATGCAAGCTAATACTGTTACACTTGTTCTGAATAATAAGTTATACAGTTCAAACATCTCTAAACGTAACATTCCCTAAATGCTCACACTGTGTTTTCCCTACAATCCCCCCCCTACACGCTCGCTTCCCCAAGTTCGTAGAACTTCTAATGCACATTGTGTGAAGTTACGAAGAGTTTGCGTGTATTGTATTCTTCTTAGAGATGCAAAGGATAAACTAAATACACTGCTCGCACCCTCATGAAACCCGAACCACATGCATCAAGTCGATCTATCGCTTGGATCTGTGTTGGCAAAAGGGATGCTCTTTCCTTATATTATTTTATTGATTAAGAGAGATATCAGTCAGGCATGAAGTAACCTGTTACCAGAACACGTTGGTAATATTACGGTTACAGATCTTGTTATTCTCGGTAACAAACTTGCAAGCTTACATTATTTCGTTCGGTGTTTTACAATATGTGATCGTTATGCGAGTCTTTGGTGAAACTAACGATCAAAGGGGCGAACCATTCTCAAATGTTTTATGCTCCTACTCTCTGTGTTTTGAATTTTCAATAAGTCCCGTTGTCATAGTCAAGGGATTTATTGATGCACCTACTATGGAACAGTAAAAGTGCACTTGCTACCAATGTTGTCGTAGTCCAGGAGGGTATGCAGCATTAAACGGGAACATTGTGCGCGCTCTGTCTTAGAAATCTTGTCAACCGAATGTGAATATTGTATACTCTTCTCTCAGTTATTTGATACTTTTTCGTCTATCAGCGCTCTTGTTTTTGTCAATTTGCTTTTCTATGTTTGGTTAATGTCTTTTCCCCTACAATACTTTGATTTCGTAGATAACGGGCGTATGAGTGTAATACGTGGTATTCCCCAAACGGCAGCGTGCATGACCGCTGTGCTTCCTTTGGCATACATACATTGATAACGTTGATAACTGCATGCCCCATCTCACTGAGCAGCACTAGTCTAATTCTTCTTGAAATGGGGCGAATAATTGAACGTTGCAAAAACGCGATGGGAAAGTTGCAGAACGAATATCGGAATGTACGAGCCCGGGGCAATGTGAAGTTGCACACTATGCGGTTGCGGCAAGTCATAAACTTGGTTTTTAAACTTACGTTAGAGTTTGCCCCGTACCTTGTACGTTTGACAGAATAAGAATCTACTAACCTCAATTAGCCAGCTGCATATGTGGGCAGACTGAACATTGTCCACTGAACTCAAAATGGCTAGATGCGGCAGAAAAGTCAACTACAGTCGACCCTCTTTAATATCCAATATCAGGGTGGGTATCATGTTAGGGTTAGGGTTTTAAATAAATGACGTCATAAGTAATATGATATTCATCATATCGAATTAATTTTTTTCGGCAATTAACAGTAAAACCTGTATTTATTATTATAATAACAACCTCCTTACGCTCTAATAGACTTTGCAATCTTGGCAAGTCTTGTTCTTCTACAAATTAGGCTGGGTCTTGCTGCTCCACGTACTGCAAAAATAATTTGCACTGCTCCAATGCCGTAGAATGAGTAATTTTTTCTATTTCAATGTTGCTACCTTCATTACTACTATCAGAATTAGATAATTTTTAAAATACTAATTTATATTGATATCAGCGAGGCACATGTAATTAGGAAGAAAATCTGATATATGTTGATAGGGATATCAACGGGGCATGATACCAAAATATGGGAATGTAACCACTTTGATAATAGAGAGAGGTTGATATCAACGGGGTGGATATTAGAGGGGGTCGATTGTATTACACAGCTCGGGTTCATATCTGAATTCATGGACTTTACATTCAGTCATAATAATAACAAGTGTGACTGACATCCAAATTGAATTGACTGATACTAGCTTTTTAATATATTCATCTTTTTTATTGCTTGTATTTCCATTTTCAGTTCTTTATCATTATGGACTTAAATTCAACCTATCACAATGACAATAATTCATTATATCAAAATCATTTTTTTATAAATTTATTACGATATTTATACGACTTTATTGCCAAGCTACAAATTCCTGCAAAACAGCTAGTTTTAACCTATCTAAAAGACAGAGGTGCAATAAAGAAGTGGCAGCAGGGAGGCCTACATATTTATAAGATTTAATTGGAAAAGATGAGGGAGGTAATATATGATGGAGAGGGCCAGTGGGGAGGGGAAGAGTGTAAATGTCTGTAATTAATGAGAGTAGAAAGTAGAGATGACAGTGATTCATTTGCTGTCGGAAGAGGTTTATGGGAGAAAGTGTATGAAGTGCAATCTGTCCAGATAGTCCAGAGAGAGGCAGACATAAGAAGTCGAACTGTGAAGTGGAATTTTTTGAGTAAAGATTATTTATTACAAACACAATAATTTTTCAAAATTCTGCATTTGTCCCAACTTTTTTTTGCGACTATAACGTGAAAACAGGTTGAACTTCTGCGAGACAGTGATTACTAAACCTTTTTGAAGAGTAGAAGACGCCTACTTAATATTAATACAACTTTACCTCTTTACTTAGCGCAAGGCAAGAAAAGAAAGCTTGTTGGGTTGTTACACCAGCGATTCCATTGGCTGAAATTGTTTTCGATTTCATTTCGTTTTCAAATTTAACCTACAACTGCTTCTTCGCAGACCAACAATATTGGCCAAAAAAATTTGCAATTATTCAAGCATGAATATATTAATTTTAATTTTAGAAAATTTTATTAAAAAGCTGTATAAAGTTTAGCGGGAAATTTTCTTCATTGTTTTCAATTATAAATACACGTCTATTTTTCATTGATTAACTAGATAGTATTTGCTCAAACTCTCGGCCATTATTTCGCACTGTTGATATGAACGGAGCCGTTCTTGACATATATGGTTGGCACACTTGGTTTATTTCCGTTGTTGGATGCCGTTAAACTTGCATCGTTACGGGCCGTTAAGGTTATACAGCAATATCATGAAAAGAGTGGCGCTGAGGGATGTGTGTGGATTTATTGATGATTCATCACTTGCGTACTTTGCGTAATACCGTGGAATGACCCAAGGTTTTAATACTTACAGGAGTTTCGGAGATATTCTTCAGTCGGAAGATTTGAGCAAATGTGGGATTTGCTTTTATTGCATCTCCAGGATTCTTGTCTGCATTCTAGTCATGAAGTGGCGTGGCTATCGCCTCTATCAAGGCCTTATTGGGGGGCCATTTGGAAAGAACTAGTTTGGTATGAAAACAATGTCAGAAAGTTACTCATCATCCGGCTGGTGCTGAAATGCTTCGAACCGAGCTCGAATGTTGCTACGCAAATGTTGCTACGTATTTTATTCAGGAACGATTAGCATCAAACTCATTATCGATTTCATAAAACATTAGTCTCAATATTTACTTTTTAATAAATAATGTATCATATTTTCTTACATAGTCAAATGATCTACCCCGACAAACAGCTAATACTATCAGTAAACGTGCACAATTTTATTTCGGGCATCTTGTTAACTCAACCATATTGACATACGTTATCGTATAATTCGAAGAGGAGCAAACCTTTGAATAAAACTCGTATAACTGTAAATAAACCCGTTGAATTACAAGTTTATTCAAAAAAGAGTTTGAGTCTCTAAATTATAAGAAATGCACGGTGTTAATATTGTAA